AGTAGTGCCACAGCTACCAGTTCCTGAGCCCTCGCTGTGCGCCAGATTCCGTGCGCCCTCCACCAACAGCTTTGGCCCGGGGGAGGGGTTAAGTTCTGTCACAAATGAGCCCTGTCTTCAAGACCTGGTGCTGTTTGACAAAACACAAATAAACAACAACCGAAAAACCCATATGGATGGCGCTAACAACCGGAAGTGTGTTCTCTCAATTTCTGTTACATTCAAACAACAAACAACACGCACTGCCATCCAGGCAGTTCCGACCGAGTAGAACTACCCATGTGGATGTCTGAGTTGTAAAACTTCGTGGGAACAGAAAGCACTGTCTTTCTCTCAAGGAGCAGCTGGTGGTGTTGAACGGCAGACCTGGGAGTTAGCAGCCCGGCTGGGAGCCCACTGTGGCCCCAGGACTCCTTTCCACGGTTTGTGGCTATTTTTAGGAGTCGGTTCGGAGCACAGCACCCATCTTGTACAGCAGAAGCAAACACTGCCCGGTCCTGCGCCACCCTGACCATTGTCTATGTCGGAGCCCATTGCTGCTGCCGCTGTGTCCCTCCGTCTCCTAGAGGCTCTTCCCCTCTTTTGCTGCCCCTCTACTTGACCAAGCATGATGTCCTTCTCCAGGGACTGGTCTCTCCGGGAAACATGCCCTTCTCCAGGGACTGGTCCTTCTCCAGTGACTAGTGTCCTTCTCAAGGGACTGGTCTCTTCTCCAGGGACTGATGTCCTTCTCCAGGGATGTCCTGGAGATGTCCTTCTCCAGGGACTGGTCCTTCTCCAGGCATAATGTCCTTCTCCAGGGACTGGTGTCCTTCTCCAGGGACTGGTCTCTTCTCCAGGGACTGGTGTCCTTCTCCAGGGATGTCCTGGAGATGTCCTTCTCCAGGGACTGGTCCTTCTCCAGGCATGATGTCCTTCTCCAGGGACTGGTCTCTCTGGGCAACATGTCCAAAGTACATGCGTGAGCAGTCTTGCCGTCCTTGCCTCTAAGGAGCACTCTGGCTGTACTTCTTCCAAGACAGAATTGTTTGTTCTTTTGGCAGCCCGTGGGACTTCCAATAGTCTTCACCAGCACCACAATTCACATGCATTGATTCTTCTTCCATCTCCCTTATTCAATAGGAATAATCACATCATTGTGTAACTGCCAGGTTACACCGTGACAGAACTGCTGATCCACGGAGAATCAAGGCCTAACCGAGTCAAGATGTTTGAGGAGACACCAGTGTTTGGTCCATGGAAAGGCCAGGGAGGCTCACAACCAGCATAGCTTGTCAGGGACAGTCGATGGCGAAGTGTCCGAGCAGGGATTTGAACCCAGGGCACCTGCTTCAGATTCTGCCCATCTCTGTACAGAGGAAGAGAGCGTTCCTGTCTTACAGGAGAGGCTGGCTAGGGCAGGGTCCCACCGAAGGCCAGCCGCTGAATAACCAAATGAGCAAGGGACTTTCAGATGGGGCCAATTGCCATGCGAGAGTAGAGCCATGGGGACAAGCAGGTGTTGATAAGGAGGTGACCAGACAGGGAAGGACAGGGCCAAGGGGGCTGCAGTTGCAAAGGCACTGCAAGGTGTGTGGGAGGCTGGGAGTTCGATCTGAGAGTGAGAGGAGAGACAGGTCTCCAGGACCTGGGGAAGCACTGTGGGTTTGGGTTTTTTTTGGTGGCGGGGGAGGCGAGGGCAACATAGGGAGCCACAGGAAGGTTAGGAGCAGGCTAGAAGGCTGCTCTGACATTTCAGAAATATCCTGCTGCTGCCAGTGGGGAGTGATGGGGCTGGGAGATCTGGAGATGGAGACAACTGAAGTATTTCCGGAAAGGGGTGCTGGGACCTGAGTCCCCAGGGGCCCAGTTCATGGGAAAGACTGGGAGGCAGTGGGGGTGATGGGCCCTGGGCCCTGGGTGCAAGGCAGGAAGAGGGGCCAGGAGGTGAGAATGCCACCTGGGAGGTGTGAAGGGGCCATCTCCCAAGGTTGGGTGTGACTTCCCCGTCGAAGGAGGAGGGGAAGAAGGGAGACCTTTGTCCAGTAGCCCCTTGAATGGGGATCCTTCTTCAACCGGGAAGGTTTAGTGGGGGGG